CACAGAATGAAGATGTTCACAAAGTGAGGACCCTAAACCCCTGCTGAATTGCTTAGTTAAACTTCTAAACTTCTCAAGTTGACACAATGTATCCACCATAACACCTGCATACAGCAATTCCCAAAGCCTTGCATGTGGACTTCTGGAGGGAACTTGAGCAGGTTTTCCATAGGATGGCCTAGGCCTGATGTCACCCTGAGGAGTGGATAACACAAAAAGCCCACATTGAGTTTTTGCCACTATATTCTGTCTTGCATAGTGGCCCACCCTCATGCTACAAAGTGTACTTCTGTATGGACGGGGGCCCTGTAGGTTGGGAGGAGATATTATGAAGTCCTCATTGAGAAAGCAGTTTTGGCCTCTCCAGCTAGAATTGAGCAAATAGCAAGACAAAGGCAAAGAAGCCAGGCCTGGGAAGTTCCCAGATAGTGTGATTAACATAAGAATCACATACTTCCTCTTTACCTAATCCTTAAACCTAAACTACCTTTCCATAAGGCCATCACCCATAATCTTACCCTCTAACAAAGGACAGGAAAAGTCATGGCCAGAAGAAATTGGAAACAGCACAAATGCCCATCAACCAATGACTGGATAAAGAAGATGTGGGGTTTTTTTATATACAATGGAATACTATTTTGTCATAAAGAAGGACAAGCTTTAGAGATTTCTAGCTAAATGGATGCACTTTGAGACTATACTCTTAAGTGCAATAAATTGGACACACATGTGTAAATACTGCATTGCTTCTCTGGTGTGAGAAACTGAAAGTGTAAATAAGGACCAAAAATGTGTAATAGATATGGTGAATTAGGAAGAAAATGTTCAAATGTGAAGGGGAGCAAAGGTGAGGCACAGGGGGAAAGAAAGGGACAAGAAATAGAAAGAAAATAGAAGGAAAAATGGAAACAAAGCTTTTGTAAATAAGGAGGGAGAGACAGGTTGAAGGAAGGAGAGGGAAGGGGGATGGGGGAAAAAAGAAGCAAGATATACCATGTACAGGTACAAATTCCTGATAATGACTATTATCATTATATATATCTAAAATGTACCAATAAAGTAAATTTTTTAAAAAAAAGAAAAGCAGGGGCTGGGGATTTAGCTCAGCAGCACAGCACCTGCCTGGCAAGTGCGAGGTCGTGAGTTTGATTCCTGGTACTGGAAAAAAAACAGAAAAAAAAAAAAAAATCCAACATTAGGATGAAAGACAAGCTAGGGAGCCAGTCAGATTCCAGGAGCCTACCTGGGACAAAGATCTCAATAAAAGGAGCTGCAGACAAGATATCCACAAGTATTTCCCTTTCGAATACTTCCTACTCATCCAGAGTGGCTGTCTGCCATCTCACTTTTCCCTTTCTCCCACCTTTGAATAAATCATATATATATATAAAATAAAGTCATTCCCTGGATAATCCATTAATCCATTAGCCATTAGCCATGGTTCCAAGGCTACATTAATCAATTCAGTAAGGCAGAACCCTCATGATCACCACCTAAAGCTCATCTTTTCAAATAAAATTAACACAGCTGAAGATTAAGCAACATACAACCCTAACTAAAAAATCTTAGCTAACAATGTTTAACGTGTAATGTGCCTTCCTCATTTCACTGACCTAATTTTTCCCAGTTCTGTAGTCCTTTAGCTAGAGCTCTTCCTACCCCACTTCATTTCCTGTTACAGATAAGATATAGCTGTGCCTCTAAGCCTTTCCTTTGGTTGAAAAATTTCCGTTAACACTTTTGGGTCAGGCATAGTGACACATGCCTGTAATCTTAGCACTTGGGAGGCTGAGGTAGGAGGATCAGTATGAGTTCAAGAACAGCCTGGACTACATAGTGAATTGAAGGTCAGGCTGAACTACAAAAGTAAATACCCTTTCTCAAAAAAAAAAAAAGAGAAACTCTGAGTCCATGTGTACCTCTGCATATCTCCCCAATTTAACACTCAACTTTCTGGTTCTTCCAAAAGCACAGTAAATTGATATAAATAATCTTTTAATGACCTGCTTCAATTTCTGACCCTCAATCTATTTCCTACTCTGTTCCTTGAATGCATAAATGATCCAAGCAGTCATTTAAATATATAATAATATTAATCTAACCACTAGAATTTGGAAAGCAGAGGTGATCTAAAAGAGCGTTTTCCAGTAGGAGCTTCCTCAAAGCACAGGCACTTCCAAAAAGATTGGTGGAGAATCAGCTCTGAGGATGTTTCATCCCAATTTATAATCTTCAAACACATTATAACAAATTTGTTCTGCATGGTACCTAGTACCAAAAGGTAAAATTTGCAAGGCAGTATAAAAATCTCATTTACCAGAAAAAGTTTGCTTCCTGTTGCAAATTATTTTTCAGATCATCTAATGTTATGATAGCTAAATTAGTTGTTTGGGTAAGTAGTTGGCTAGAATAAACTAGATGAAGTCCAATGTTTGAACTTTTAAATTTAAGAAAAAAGAACTGCAATGCAGAAGGAACTTGAGCTTTTTCTAGACAATTGACCACTTCCCACAAGTATGGTTTCTATTACCTCGTATCGCAGTGGAAGTCTGGCATTATACCTGAGCCAGCTTCTGGCCCCACTTGACATTTCTGGAATCTTTCCACTGGAATCTGCTTCTGGAAAGGAGTGAAGTTCAGTCCTGCAGAATGGACAAAGCTGTTTGCTGCCCTAGGAGCAGTACAGTGAAGGCTTTTCAGTGATTGATCTTTCTCCCAGTTACTGGATGCTGGGATGACAGAAGTGTGAGATCTGATGGGAGACCTTTCCTTGTGGTTCAAGTTTCTGGGATTCTTATACTACACACCTCAGTGAATTGCAGATGACAGAAGGATCTGGTATATTTCCCAGTTTCAATACTCTGGCCTCTCTACCCTACTTAAAAAAATCTTTGCTGAATCTGTCTTTAACTTTTTAAAATAAAATTTTATTTATTCTTTGCATGCATTTTTTCTATTTAAATTATTATGCTTTTAATTGACATGTAAAAAATTATATATATTTATCAGGTACCATTTTGTGTTGTGTACTGGTACATGTACACAGTGCCTCAAGTTCAAATTATAGTAAGAGTGTTTATCTTTTTAAACATTTATCATTTCTTTGTGGTAAAAGCATTAAAAACACTTTCTACTAGCTTTTTGAAAATATATAGTATATTATTACTATATAAAGTCACACCACTGTTTGATATATACCAAGTTATTTCTTCTAACTAGTAAAACTTAGTACCTATTAGCCAGTCTTTCCTCACCCTTCTTATGTTTATTATTTTCTTTTTATTTGGCTGAATCTGTTTCTAAATCTATCCACACACATATCATTTTTTTAAATGAGTATTTTTTTTTTTTTTTTTTTGGTTTTTGGTTTTTTTCCAGTACTGGGAATCGAATCACGACCTCGCTTTGCCAGGCAGGTGCTGTGCCACTGAGCGAAATCCCCAGCCCCTTTAATGAGTATTCTTGAGTGGCTGCTAAGTTGCAGGTATTGGATATATGTTAGTGAATGAGACAGGCAAAAAAGTTGCTGTCTTCAAACGATTTAAACTGTAGCAAATGCCATGCATGGTGCCACATCCCTGTAAACCTAGCACTTGAGAGGCTGAGGCAGGAGGATCTCCAGTTCAAGGCCAACCTGGGCTACATATCAAGGCTAGCCTGAACTACATAGTGAGATCCCATCTTGAAATAAACAAGCAAACAAAAAATTTCAGCCAAAGAGGAAGCAGCAGTAAATGTTTCAAACTAGCAAGTACCTATTCCATGAGAAAAGGTTGGGAATTCTGGAACACACCCACCTTCTCCCTACCCCTTGGCAATACATATAGCAGGGCAAGGGGCACAGGAAATTTTAGGTGGGGAAAATTAGCCATTTTAAGTAGCATGGTCAGGGAAGGTGGGCTTCATTGAGAAGCAGCTTTGCCACAAGATTTGGAAAATAAAGAAAAAGATGAGAAGATGTCTGAATGAAGAATAGCCCAGAAATAAGAGACTTGGGCCATGGTCCTTGCAAAGGTGGGAGAATGCCGGTGTGGTTGGAACAAAAAGGGCAAAGTAATAGGAGGCCCTGAAGGTTCAGGAGATTTTTGGTCTGTAGGTTAGGCCTGTAAGATCCCTACCTGCAGTTCCTACTATTTTCTAAACCTCTCCTTTAATTTCACCCTGCTGTTCTACAGGAAATACCCTTGGTTACCTGAAGTGCTCTCGGGGAGGTTTTCTCCAGCAGCCAGATGAGATTAAAGACCCCCCTGTGACACATTTATACCTTCTTGGGCTTCATTTGTAATGCTCACCAAGTAAAGAGACATATATATGGCCTCTGCCTCCCATAGCACTGCTTAGTAAAGCTTTTTTGTTTTTGTTTTTATTTTTCTCCTGCTATACTTAGCATTGAACTCAGGATATTTGCACTGAAGGACATCCCCAGCCCTGCCCTCCCTTTTAAATTTTTGAAATAAGGTCTCTAAATTACTAAATTGTCCAGGCTGGGTTCAAATTAGCAATCTGCCTGCCTTAGTCTCCCAGAGTGCTGGGATTAGTACTTTCAAAATTGTATCAGGTGCCGGCAATTTACATATTTTAATTTGTAAACTGCAATTTAATTTTAATTTAGTGACTCAGTGGCACTAGACTATGTGGAAATACAAATATTTCTTGCCTTTCAGGGGCTCTTGAAGTTTTCCCTCCCCCGAGGGGTTATACTGCAAGGGATTTAAGGAGAGGGAGTGAAGGGCTGAGATTAGATCAAGACGGTTCCAAGGGAGGGGCTGGCAAAGGGGGAAGGGCGGTTGGAGGGAAGGGAATACCCGGATGTAACCTTCCACCCGGTTAATGGATTAAGGAGGGTGTGCGCTGCTACTTTGAGAAGCCTGATGAAGACCCACAATAAGTACCTTATTTGAGCAACCAGAAATCCTCGAGAGCTACAGACCACCCAGACAATGCAGGAGTGAGGCCTGCTCGCTGGACCTCCCTGCGCACAAGCAGGTAATGGATTTCAGTTTATCTATATAAACTGGAGACAAGATGGTTGGACTCTGAACAGCAGAGAAGGGAGGAAGGACTCTCACCAGCACAGGAGCTAGACCTGTAGGTGGCCGCTAGATCGGGCCCTAAAGCCAAACCTCATTCTTACTTAACCTTTGCCTAGAAATCTGCGGGAAAGGTTTTGGCATCACTCTGGACTACGGCTAAAAATCCTATCAGAATAAATTGTTTTAGGCACATGATTTAAACCAATTTAGATATTATAGATTAGATAACAATAGGCTTTAAAAGAATAGGCTCTTCTGCCCAACCCTCAGAAAGGATTTTGAAGAGCAAGCGGCAAGATATAAGAGCACAGGAGGCCTGGCTGTGGAGCTTTGGACTGATTTTTCTGGGAGCTAGAAGCACAGACACCACAGCTGTAATATCCCTTGTGGCCCACAGTGGGAAATATTGGGCAGCACTGAAACATCTGGAGATTCAGTTTAAGGAACTGGTAAGCTAAAAATTTTAGTACTCTTCATTTTTCTTCTTTACAGCTAGGACTGACAAACCTAGGCCTTGCAGGGCCCCTGGTCTCTGTTGCTACCATTGTACTCAGGCATACCAGAAGGAAAGCAGTTGTAGACGACATTAGTTAAATAATCATGGCTGTGTCCCAACAACACTTACTGTGGATGCTGAAATTTTGAATTTTATATAATTTTCACGTGTCCCAAAATACTGCTTTGGTATTTTTATTTCCCCACATTTGAAACTTTAGAAGTAAAAAATAGAGAAACAAAAACAAAACCAAAAAAATCCAATTGCCTGTGGTAAACACCCGTAATCCTAGCTATTCAGGAAGTTAAAGCGGGAGGCTCGCAAATTCAAATCTAACCTGGGTAATTTAATAAGACTGTGTCTCAAATTTTTAAGAAAGGGCTGGGGATACAGCAGGTTGGTAAAGCTTCCCTAGGTTCAATTCCCAAAACTGAGGAAAAAGAAAAAGAAACTTTAAAAAGGTCAAAATAAACTGGTCTGGTGGTGCATGCCTGTAATCCCAGCACTATGGGAGGCTGAGGTAGGTGGATCACAAATTCTAGACCAAGTTGGGCAGTTAAGCAATTTAGCAAGAATGTATCTCAAAATAAAAAAATAAAATAAAATTTAAAAAGGGCTGGGGATGTAGCTCAGTGTGAAGGTCCTGGGTTCAATTCCCAGTACCACAAGAAAATAAAAATATTCTTAGTTTGCTGGCTGTATACAAATAGGGGGAAGGTGGGGTGTTGTGGCAGATGCCTGTAATCCCAGCACTTGGGAAGCTAAAACAGAGGATTGCAGCAAGTTTGAGGCCAGCCTGAACTACATAGTAAGACCCTGTCTCAAAAAGTGGGGGACTTGTTAATCTCTGTCTTAAATCACTGATTACCAAAGTGTAGCTGGCAACCCATTAATGAACTGTAAAAATAAGTTTAGTGGGCTGTGATACAAAAAGAAGCAATAGATTTTCACTGACTCTAAGATGCCATCAAGTGTGTTATTTTTGATGATCCTATAAAATACAAACATTATACATGGTAAAATTATGAAAATATTTATATTGGTTTATAGCCTATTGATGCATAGATGAGATGCAGCCTAATTTCAGAGTTTTCAAATGAAAATAAAAGCATGCTCTTTACAGTCAATGAAATGTTTTGATGGCATAGATAGTATCAGAATATCCCTGGTAGTAAAGTGAGGATATTAGTTTACAAAACTTTTGTTTTAATTTATACATATGCAGGTAGATTTTTTTTCTCTAGAGCAGGATAGTGTTAAATCATTTGGATCTGGTTTTGTGAAATGTTTGGAAAACCTAGCCTTAAGAGATTACAGTCTGTTCTACACATAAGTGATAATGTTAATAGTAGGTAGTATTTATTTAACAGAGATTTAGCATCTGCACTAAGCAGATATTGCTCTAGAGGCAGCAGTAGACAAAACACATTGGCTGCCCTCATGTAATGTACAATTTAGAGAGATAGAAAAGCAGTAGGATATATTTTATATGTTGCATGGTAGGAGGTAATAAATGCTAAGTTTAAGAAAAAGCCTGGAGCGGGGAGATAAGGCATGTGAGGGGAGCTTGTGAGTTTTGATAGCGTGGTCAGGAAAGTCTTGGTGAGGAAACCGGAAACTGAGGCAGGCTGGAAGCCTGAATGGGGATAATCTGGGCAGAGAACATCCAAGGCAGGAGGAACAATGGGGGAAAAAAGGCCTGGTGTATTCCACACTCACTGAGATGGTGGCAGCAGTGGAGTGAGTGAGAAGCAGAAAAGATAGGATCACAATAGACAAAGTATGTGTTCCAGGGTCCTATTGGACATTGTCAAACTATTGGTGTTTCCTATGAATAAGATGGAAAGTCACCGCTGATTTATAAGCAAAAGAATAAATGCCAGTTCTGCATGTTTGTGTATACATATATATGTAATATATATTGTCTTTTCTTTTTACTTTTTTCTCTATATATTTAATATTTTTGTTTTTTAAGCTTTATTGAAAAGATTTTTAATTGACACATAATACAGACTGAGGACCCCTTATTACAGTACTTAGAACCAGAAATATTTTGGAGTTTGGGGTGATATTTTTTGTGCATGTGTGGAATATGTGCATATAATAATAAGATATCTTAGATGGAATGCACATCTAAACATGAAATTCATTTATGGTTTTTTTTGTTTTTGTTTTTGTTTTTGTTTTTCTCCGGTACCGGGAACCGAACTCACGACCTTGAGCTTGCCAGGCAGGCGCTTTGCCGCTGAGCTAAATCCCCAGCCCCCTATTTATGTTTAATATATACCTCATATAAATATCCTGAAGGCAGTTTTACACATAGGCAATTTTATACCTGAATTCTGACCTGTTATGTGAAGTGGAATTTTCCACTTGTGGCATCATATCAGTGCATAAGGTTCTGATTTTAGATACTGGATTTTGGAATTAAAGATGCCTGGTTGGATTTATGGTATACAGAGCAATATTTTGAAACCTGTATACACTGTGGAGTGATCAAGTCAGCAATTAGTATACAGTATTTATCATCTCATTGAAGCCGTGGGATGACCATGGGGGGATCTGACAATTCTTTTGTTTTTTGTTTCCATGCTGGGGATTGAATACAGGGCTTTAGGAAAATGCTTTCTCACTGAGCTGTATCCCTAGCCTGACAAAAAGGTTAACACTGGGAATTCTACAATGATCCACAGAGAGAACATGGTGATCCAACAGTGGAGGTAGAAGAGAGTAACCAGACCCTGGATACTTTCAGAAAACAGGCAGACAGGGTGTGGTAATTGATTGACTATAGGATGTGAAGGAAATCCTGGCAAAGGATCACTCCAAAGTCTGTGGATTGAGCAGCTCGTTTTATAGTCAGCCCTCCCTACCTGTGAGTTCTGCATTCTTGGATTCAACCAAGTGCCACACAAAGATACGTATTTGAAAAAACTGCATCTATACTGAACATGTACAGACTTTTTCTCATTATTCCCTAAATGATACAGTAAAACAACTATTTGCATAGCATTTATATTGTATTCGGTATTTTAAGTAATCTAGAGATGATTTAAAGTACACAGGAGGATGTGCTAGGTTCTGTGCAAACACTATGCTATTTTATGTTAAGGAATTTGAGGATTTGGATATCCAGGGTAGGGGATGTGCTGGTGGTTCATGAACTAATCACCTGAGGATATCCAAGGATGACCAGGGAGAAAGGTAACATTAACATTACAGGAGTAGATGATTGAGAGCTAAGTTTTATTAAAGTTAGTTAGAAAGCATAGATTTCCAAGAGAGTACTTCTGGTACCAGGCGGCCAGTGAGGCACCATGGGCATAAAATGTAAGGAGATGGGTAGTCTAGGATATTCAGCTTGTGCCTCTTTGAATCTTGTGCCAGTGCTGTATTAGCATCACGACTGCAGAGGACTTGAGGGAAGGTGGAGAGACAAGTTTCGAATTATGATGTCCCTTAAGTAGTTTAAGTCTGCTGGGAGGTGTAGCTCAGTGGGAGAGCACTTGCCTAACATTCACAAAGCTCTAGGTTCAATATCCAGCCCTGGAAAAAGAAAGTTTTAGCTTATTTTCTTAATGTGCAAAAGAAGTTGATAAATATCTTTTGAACTAAATGATGTTTTTGCATGGTTGCCTCTTAGGTGCCAATTGACAAAAAGATAGCTGTGGATGTTGAAGGGACCCTGCTGCAATCAAAGTAATTTTTAAATGGCAGGTCACTCTTCCTTGAATGAAGAACAAGAACCAGAAACCCTGAAGAGGCATGAGAGACAGCCCACTCAGAGGGACAAGCACGAGGAAGATGATGATCTGATATTTGTTGGAAGGGAATATGTAAACGTAGATTCTGAAATCCTCTTTGTCAAGGTGATTTCAAATTCAAAACCAGTTATTTCAAACATTTTGAACAGAGTCACCCCAGGCTCATATTCAAAAAGAAAGAAAGGCTACCTCAGGCAAGACGCTGCTCATGTGTCTCAACCTGGAATTAATGCAACCCCAGTGAGCAAAGCAATGGCTGCCATGCCAAGTTCTCAGTCTGAATGGAGATCAGCAGATAGTCCCACTAGCGCTGAGTCTTCCTCCAGCCTGGCTTATAAAATGAGCTCACCACAAGTCATTCCTCCTCATGATTCAAAGCAACTTTTCATGGCTGATGATAAGATCAGCAGAAATCCCAAAAGATCTAACCTCAGGAATGAAATCCCAAGTGACCATTCTTCAGCCATGACCCCTTCTGGTAACTCTCCTAAAATGGACACATGTACACCATCACAAAGCTTGTCAAGCTATGTTCAGAATGGAACGTCTTTTCCTTGGACTCCTGCTAATGAAAAGGCACCTTTTCCTGTCAGATATCCAGACCCACAAAATAGCTCTGAAGCTCTGGTTAAAACAGGCTTATCAAGTCTAACAGGTCAAAACAAGACCTTTGATCCCAAGAAAAGAAGTCTGGTCCTGTTACTTAGTGACTTTTACTATGGACAACATAAAGGAAATGGGCAGCTAGAACCGAAGACTCACTCAACCTTTAAATGCCTCAGCTGCTGGAAAGTTCTGAAAAATGTTAAGTTTATGAACCACATGAAACACCATTTGGAACTTGAGAGGCAGATGGGGGATAGCTGGGAAAACCACACCACCTGCCAGCACTGCCACCGGCAGTTTCCAACTCCATTCCAGCTGCAGTGTCACATTGACAGGGTGCACACTACCCGGGAGCCCTCTGCTGTCTGTAAAATCTGTGAGTTGTCATTTGAAACAGATCAAGATCTCTTACAGCACATGAAAGACAATCATAAGCCTGGGGAAATGCCCTATGCATGCCAAGTTTGCAATTATAGATCATCAGCTTTTGCTGATGTGGAAACACATTTTAGAACGTGCCATGAAAACACTAAGGATTTGCTTTGTCTGTTTTGTCTTAAAATTTTCAAAACTGCAAATTCATACATGAACCATTGTTGGAGACACTGGAACAAGAAAAGACTCTTCCCATGTTCCAAGTGCCGGCTACAATTTTTGAGTTTGAAGGAGGAAATAGAGCATAAAACTAAGAATCATCAAACATTTAAAAAGCCAGAGCCACTGGAAGGGTTGCCTCCTGAAACGGAGGTTATTATTCAAACTTCAGTTCACCCATCAAGAGGTACAGAATTCATTGTTGTGAGCAACACTGACTCTTGCCTGTCACCTGTGAAAATTAAAAAGAGGAAGAATTCTAGATATTCTGGACTCCTTTGCAGCCAAGGTTCTAGCTAAATACATGTTCTACTCACTTCCATGGATTCTGAAAGGCAGATATGAGGCTAGGTCATCTGTACATCATGACTGATGCTAGCACTGATGCATGCAGTATTGGATTTTACAGTGAAACCTCTAGCTCCCTAAAGAAGCAGTTCATAAATCTTCATGCCCTTTCTTCACTTAAACCCCTCTATAAAAGTGATCACTCTCTATCATCATAGATTAAGTTTTACTGTTTTTGAACTTTAAATAAATGTGTTAAATGACTTTAAATGGAATAAAACAATAAACTCTTATCTTTGATTCTATTTAATATAAATAAGAGCCACCCCTCTAACAGACACATTGAAGATTGAACCCAGGGCTTTCATACTGAGGTACATTCCCAGCCCCTTTAGTTTTTGAGACAGGGTCTCACTAAATTGCCCAGACTGGGCTCAAGCTTTTGATCCTCCTGCCTTGACCTCTCATAGTGCTAGGATTACAGATACAAGCCACCAGTCCCAGCTTGTGAGTCACATTCTTGCTGCATTCAGCAGGAGCACATATTTTTCACTGTTGGGTAGAATTCCACTGAATATGACACAGTTTTCACTGTTGAGTAATTTACACAGCAAAATCTCAATGTAGGTACAACATAGGTCAAACTACAGCCTATAGGATTATGAGTACAATCACTTAGCTAGTATTTATCCAATAGGGAAATGAGTCATGTGGGTAGGGTGTATGGAAAGAAAAATGGCATTTTTGGAAAGGGATGGGTCCAGATGTTTTGGTTACTCACCAATGTGTCTGAGGTCTAGCTGGGCCCACTGGACCAGGTGGGGCTAATTATGGTGTAATTCTCAAAATGGTGATGATCCGTAGGGAGGCTTGCAGGCCTGGCTATGGCATCTCTATCTTGAGGCCTGGATTTCTTCAGATTCCCCTCCAGCCACAATCTTTGTATGTCTCATCTTTGCTGACTTCCTCAACGGCCCAATCCCTCTCTGACTGCATATTAATTTCTGTCTAACTTAGCTGTCTACAATGCTATGAGTTTACATCAATTTTCTGACAGACATACTTAAGTCATTTGGATAACAGTTGCAGGAAGTGCTTGAATTGCATATATTGAGCTTTTTAGTAGATTCTGCCAAAAACTTTTCCAAAAGTGACTGAAACCATTTACATTCACACACTAATATTGGGAATTTCATTGCTACAGATCCAACACATGGTACTGTCTGTCTTTTCCATTAATGCCCTTTTCTTAGAGTTGTAGTGGTATCACACTATGGCTTTAATTTGCATTTCTCCAATGAGTAATGATCTTGAAAATATTTTTATATGGTTATTCACCACTTAAATGTATTCCTTATGGAAGTGCTATTGAATTTCTGTTACCTCTCATCTTTTAAAGTGGGCTTTCAAGTGGAAAGGTTATCAACAATTGCTGGGACAAAACAAATATCCCATGTCTGGATCTGTATGCCTGTTTCATAGATGTAGATATACATTTTTTTTTTTTTTTTTTTTTTTTTTTTTGGTTTTTCTCCGGTACCGGGAACCGAACTCACGACCTTGCGCTTGCCAGGCAAGCGCTTTTGCCGCTGAGCTAAATCCCCAGCCCCGTAGATATACATATTAAGTTTGGTTTCTCATGTATTATTTAAGAAATTGCTATCTACTAAGGACACTGTTTTTTCTAAAATATTTAATCTTTCATATGGACTTATATAAACCATCTCAAATGATTATTTGCTTATGGTGTGATAAACCATAGCAATAAGGTTACTTTTTCATATGCATATCTAAATTAACCGGGACCATTTACCAAAGACCACTCTTATCTCACTGTACTTCAGTGGAAACTGTGTATACCAGGTATGACTGTGTATGTGTTTCTGGAGCCTATCCTATTCCATTGGTCCAGCTGTCTTTCTTCATTCTAGTTCCACAGTGTCTCAGTTATTGTAGCTTTTTATAAGTTTATATCAGTGGTAGTTTTGTTTAGTCTTTTTTGTTTGTTTGTTGGGAGGGTGGGGTGAGGAATATCTATGTATCAGTGGTAGATTATTTTTTGGCAGTGGAGTTCAAAGTTGCCTTGACTGTTCCAGGACCTGTGATTAGTCACAGACTAAAAGAGGAAGTTAAGAGCACTTCATGGAAATTATTGGAAATTAGGAGTACTTACTCAGCTTTGATGAGTTGAAGTAGTTATTGTGGATGTACCTGTCTTATTCTGAAACTTAGATGCAATAGCTCACCATTAATTTTGATCTTAGCTGTGGGGCTTTTTGTACCTACCCACTGATTACAGAGAGATTGAGCTAAAAATTAATGACAGAAAAATATTTTTAAAAAAATCCATTGGCCAGGCATGGTGGCACACGCCTGTCACCCCAGCATTTGGGAGGCTTAGGCAGGAGGATTATGATGAGTTTGAGGCCAGCCTGGGTTGCATAGTTAAGATAGTTTTACAGCTAGTTTCTCTTAGTTCATTAAAAAGAAAGTTTCGTGCTAATATTGTCTGGTCAAGATATCATGGCTATATCTTGTACTCTGAATAAGTACTATGAAGACAATTTACAATGTATCAACTACTGTAACTGTTCTATTAACCTGTTTTGAAACCTGGTTTCATTGTTATATTTAACGTTTTTTTCTTTTTTAAAAAAGGAAAGTTTAAGAAACTGTCACATATCCGAGAAGGCTAAGGAGAACACAATGATGAAGAGCCGTTCAGTATATCCTAGATAGGAATGTGAAACAGAAGAAGATTAGTGGAAAAACTACTGAAATTGAATAAAGGTTATAGCTAAGCTATGGTATTTATTGGTGGATATTGGAATTATTATTTTTTTGTATCAGAATTACTGTGCAGCCAAAAGGAGATCATTTCCCACACATAATAAACATTGTAAATCTCTACATCTATGATCCCTTCATTTTGATGATTGTCATTCTTTTTTTTTTTTTTTTTTTTTTTTTTTGGTACCGGGAATTGAACTCACAACCTCACACTTGCCAGGCAGGCACTGTGCCATTGAGCTATATCTCTGGCCCTTATCCTTCATTTTGATCCTTCATTCTGCTCCTTCACTGAGCAGAAACCCTCATTTCAACGAGTAATATTTAGAATGTGTAGTTTGACCATAATACAATCAAATTAGAAATTGCCAAAAGACAGGTTTTAAAAAATCCCATAGACTTTTAAAATAAAGAATAAATGCTTGTGTTAAAAAGAAAATCATAAGGGCAATTAGGATGCATTTGAAACTCAAAAGGAATGAACATGTTACCAAGCAAAAGTTGCAAGACACAGTTAAATTGGCAGTTAAAGGTAATTTGCAGCATTAAACACAAGAAATATAAGTTTCTAAACAAGTTAGGCATTACCTAAAAAACGTTTTAGAGAGGAGCAACTAAACAAGCCTATAGACACAGGATAGCAGAAGCAGAAGATAGTAAAGAATGTAAGAAAAAAAAAAGAGAAAATAACACTAGAGATTAACCAGATGGAAACCTTTTTGTGTTTAAATAGATTGCTAAGCCACGTAACAAAATTAGTCATTTAAGAAAACATCAAAAGTTACGAATAAAGTCAGTGAACAAATATTTCCTGTAAAGGGCAAAGTAGTAAATATAGTATATGGTCTCTGTCAATTAATAATTTTACTGTTGTAGTAAAAAAAAAAGACACAATACCTAAAGACAAGAGCATGTTGTATTCCAATAAAACTTTATGAACACATACATTTTAATTTCATATGCCATAAAATTTTTTTTTCCAACCAATTAAAAAAAACTATCCTAGCACTCTGGGAGGCTGATGCAGGAGGATCACAAGTTGGAGCCCAGGTTGGCAACTCAGTGACTTAGTGAAACTGTCTCAAATTTTAAAAAGACCAAAAAGGGATGAGGATGTAGCTCACTGCTCCATGGCTTCAGTCCTCAGCACTGTGGGGGGTAGGGTGGGGTGAGAAAGAAAGAAAAGTAAAATCTTGTTTTGTTTTCTTGTACTGAGGATTAGGAATTGAACCCAGGACCATTGCACAATTGCCCAGACCTGGCTTTGATTTATGATCCTCCTGCCTCAGCCTCCCACGATCCACACACACACCATCACACATGGTCTCTCTGGTTTTGTTGTTTTTATTTTTATATTAATTCTTTTTTGAGACATGATCTCAATATGTAGCTCAGGCAGGCCTTGAACTTACTACTCATTATGTAACCTAGACTGTCCTCTTGAACTCCTGGTGATCCCCCTGCCTCAGACTCCTGGGTGCTGGGATTACAAACCTGCACCACCAGGCCCGGCTAAAATCTGTTCTTAGTTCACTTAAACTGAAAAACAAAAAACAAAAACAGGTGACAGGCCGAACTGGAGTTGCCTTAGATGCTGCTTCAAGAAGATGGGGTTTAAGGTCAGTTTTTTTTTTTTTTTTCCTCCAAATTCCTAAAGCCATGGGCTACTCAGGTAGTACCTCATAGAAAAAGGTCAGCACCTGAGGATTCTGACAGCTTTACCTCAGGTGGGCAGAGTATCGTCTAGGGGGCTGGGAGCCCAATGGCGGGCCCTGTGCCCCCGAGGGCGCTAGATCCCTGACGGCTCAAGCTCCATCTGGGGGTTACGGGCATCTCCGCGGCGTTTGCCCCTCTTCGCTGGACACCTGGCTCTGCCTCACCGCCCCCAGGGGCGAAAAAGCGCGCGCATGCGCCCAGCCCGCCCGACCTTGCACCCGCACCTGGCAGCCAATCACAGGCCGTGCTGGGCGCGCGTGCGGAGGCCCCCGGGCTGCCGGCGGTTGTGGGAGTCTGAGGAGGTGGCGTGGCCCCAGGCTCTCCCCGCGGAGCGCCTTCCGGGCCAGTGCGTCCCCCGCGGTTCGCAGGAGCGGCGGCAGGGACAGGTAAAGACCGGCGCGTCGCGCGGCTCTGCGTTCCCTCAGCGGAGGCGGGCGGGGGTGCACGGCCGCGGCGCGCGGCGTTTTCGGACGCCTCGTCCGCGGCGCCTGCGCTGCCCAAGCGGCCTGTGGCGCGGCTGTCCTCGGATAGGCGCGCGCCGCGCGCCCCTCGCGCCCCGGTCCCCTCACGTCCGGGTCCCTCACGCCCCTGCCTCCTCACGCCCCTGTCGCCTCTCGTCCCTGTCCCCTCACGCCCCTGTCCCCTCACGTCCGGGTCCCCTCGCGCCCCTGTCCCCTCACGTCCGGGTCCCTCACGCCCCTGCCCCCTCACGCCCCTGTC